CAATGGAGATCTTCGTGGATGATGAGACGAAGCTGACGCTGCATGGCTTGCAGCAGTACTACGTGAAACTGAAGGACAACGAGAAGAACCGGAAGCTCTTTGACCTTTTGGATGTCCTTGAGTTCAACCAGGTCAGTTCAAGGTCCATTGGGAGAAGGAGCAGGTTTCCAACTGTAGCAGAAATCTTTATTCAATACCCTGTTATTGAGGAAACCACATAAATGATGTGAGAGAGTGGTGGAGATGCTCCCTTAAGTGAAATCCTTTTTTAAGTCCTCACCCAAGTATGTTTTTATTGATTTGAGAGAGAGAGCATGAGCAATTGGTTGCCTCCATGTATGTGACCTGACTGGCAATCGAACCCACAACCTATTTTGTGTATACTGGACAGTGCTCCTACCAACCAAGCCTCCCAGCCAGGGCTTAAGTGAAGTTCTTTTAAATGAGAATATAAATGTCTTGGAGCTGAGCACGAGCAAGGTGAGAACTGCTTTTCTGTTCCATTGCTAGCACAGATAGGTACTTAATAAATAAGCTCAGTAAATAAACCTCAAAGAAATAAAATCCTTAAAGGGTTTTAATTAGGTGGTAAAAGTTGTGAAATACCTTGATTATACTGTTAGGTTCTTATATTTGTTTTTCTTGTACTATTTACTGAGGAGATGTTTTATCACTTTGTTATGTAGTTTATTTGTACTAAAATCTACCTAGAATTAGGATAAAGTTACATTTAGAGAAGAAGAAACATGAGAAATTCCTTTAAACTAATTACTGAAAACTTTCATACAACATCATACATGCATGGACCCACATTTCTACACACACGTGCGCACACGCACAGGTGGTGATCTTTGTGAAGTCTGTGCAGCGCTGCATCGCCCTGGCCCAGCTCCTGGTGGAGCAGAACTTCCCAGCCATCGCCATCCACCGTGGGATGCCCCAGGAGGAGAGGTGAGCTGGAAATGGGGAAGATGTTTTGTGTCCTTGGGAGACTATTGAGAGAAGGAACTCTCAACATTTTTCTAATTTCCTTTCTCACAAAGGCTTTCTCGGTATCAGCAGTTTAAAGATTTTCAACGACGAATTCTTGTGGCTACCAACCTATTCGGCCGAGGCATGGACATTGAGCGAGTGAACATTGCCTTTAACTATGACATGCCTGAGGATTCCGACACCTACCTGCATCGGGTAAGCCCCGCACCCACAAGGCCTTTCAGGGACCTTGCCCACCCCCCTATTTTCTGTCTTTATAGCACACATCTTCATCCCTCCCTTTGGGCGTTTTATTCCTTGGAGTCTTCCAGTCTTGCCTTCTGTCTCCTCCTAGGTGGCCAGAGCAGGCCGGTTTGGCACCAAGGGATTGGCCATCACGTTTGTGTCAGATGAGAATGATGCCAAGATCCTCAATGATGTGCAGGATCGCTTTGAGGTCAATATTAGTGAGCTGCCCGATGAGATAGACATCTCCTCCTACAGTGAGTACTGATCATAGGAACCGGTTCCCCCAATGCATGTAATTCTCCTTGTTCCTTATTGTGTTTGTCTGAAGTCCCATTATGTGGGTAAAGCCCATAGTACATAATGGGCACCTGACAAATTCACACCCCCCTGATCTCGATGCTGTATTGGGATGTTCTGTTCACCTTTATATGGGATCTTGTTTCTCATCAAATTATTTCTTTCCCCATTCCCAAGTCTGCCCTTTAGACGCAGACACCACACAGACATCTGCGTGTATGGGCGTGTGTGTTTCTGCCAACCTCTTCTTTTTATGTCTTATTCTAACTGTCATTTTCTCTTCAGTTGAACAGACACGATAGAGGGCTGATCCGCCTGTTCTGGAATGTGACAGTCTTGTCCCTCTTCAGATGACACCAGGCGTGGGGGTGAAGGAGACACTACTGCCACCTACCCCTGACAAGCCCCAAGCCCACCCCATGCCTTCCCTCTTTCCACCCCATGCCTTCCCTCTTTTGCATCACCACTTCTAAATCCCCATTTCCTTATTTGTCAGAAATTTTTTTAACAAAACTAAAAAACACATGTGTCTATGGTGTCTGTAAGTGCTCCTTTTATTGCATTCGGGGTGAGGTTTTATGTTATTTATGTAGGGCCAAGGTCATCAGTAGGAGTGGTCAAAGGGGAGGATGTGGCTAAAAAGACTGCAGAGGTCATGGTTCCCACTGCTCTCCAGTTTCTGGCCCTCTATGGAGGTGTCTTCTGTTTTTCTTCGTGGCCTGGGAGAGACTGGTATGTTTCTTTCCGTCTCAGGGCAGGTGCTGTGTGGTGTTTGCCGTGTTGGAGGGTGAAGTGAGAACTCAGGAGGCTTAGGTTTCTCCTCCCAGGCTCGCTCTGTGTCTCCTCATCTGCTCCTTCAGCTTCTGGATCTTGAGCACCAGGGCTTGGGCTTCCCAGGCCCCCTCTTGCCCTTCCAGCAGGGCCTGGTACAGCTCCAGCTGCTGCTCCAGCAGCTCCTCAGCCTGGGCCAGCTCAGCTGTGCTGCGGCCAGGACCCTGGGGGAGGGGCGTGAGGAAGGAGCATCAGCCAGGGCAAGGGGCTGAGGTTTGCTGGGAGTTGGGAATTCGACCTCTCCAGTTTTAGACGCCGTTAGTGTAAGGGTAGCTTTCTGTCTTAGGCGAAGGAGGGACAGATAGAGATCACTGGCCCAGGGGATATGATTGGACTCAGGAGGAAGGAAAGGACTGCCTGCCCCTCCCCCTTCAGAAATAATTAACTTAGATGAGGGGAAATTCCTGCTCAAGGACTTGCTGGACTGCAGGGAGGGGGGTGCTGGGAGTGTGAGCCCTAAGGTGGGGAGACGGGGGGGATGCTGGGAAGCTGAGAACTGGGAATAAGCACCAAACTCCAGGCATCTGGGTTAGTATCTGCTCTGTAGGCCTGTGGTACAGGGTGAGGTTGAAGGGACCCCACCAGGACAAATCTCCCCTCATGCCTTCCACCCTCACTGCCACTTACCGTGTTGGGGGACCTCACCTTCCCACTGCCTGTGGAGCTGGTCTGCTCTTTTGTGCTTGTCTTGGGGCTCTGGGAGCAGCACCTTTGGGATCCCTGAGGCACCAGGGGCCAGGAAGGCAGGAGGAGGCGGCAGCAACATCGGGAGAGCCCGAGCAGGAGGACCATGGCGGTTGAGGCAGGGAGCTGTCTGAGCTGCCCAGGAACTGGCTTGTACCGGGTCTTGGCCTTGGCCTCGCTTCATTGCCTGGCCCTGCCCCTGCTCCTGCCCTCCTCCCTCCCAACCTGACGCTAGACTCCTGTTCCCAACATGAAAATGTTCTTGCCAGTTTAGAAAGAATGGCCTTTAGGACACACGCCCAGCCTACCACGTCTTGTCTTTATTCCTCTCCATTATGTAAGGTAGAATTATAGTCAAACCTTGGTTCTTGAATGTCTCCCATCTGGAACAATTCATTTCTTGACCAAGTTCACAAAAAAATGTCTGTTGAACAAGCTTGGGTTTTCTGCTGGACAACTCATATGCTGATACAATGTGATGAAAGGCCTCCCTCAGGCCACAAAGGAGAGAATGTGCCAGTATGAGTCAGTATGCCACTAACATCTCAGGAAATTGTGCTGTGAATATTTTTGTGGGTTTTTTTTTTGTTTGCTGGCGAAATGGATTAGCACAATTTTAAAACAAAGGCCATCAAGAATGCTAATGTTGCTAAGTATGTGAAAGAAACTGATCACAGGCAATTGAAGTAGAAAAACTGCTATTGATTTGGTTAAATGAAAGCAGTTAACAGGTGACAGCATTTTGGAGGCAGTGATACGTGAAAAAGCGAAGATACATGCTGACCTGAGACATCCCTGGAATGAGTGCTGAAAGTGATTCATTAAGGTTAGTAGGGGGTGGTTCAATAAATTTAAGAAAAGAGTTTGTTTATAGACTAAGTATGTTAGATGCATATATAAGAGAGGTTAAAACGGAATCATTTGGGGATCTGGAACTAATTCAATTTACGTTATTTCTAATAGAAATAATGATTTGGTTTTTAAACAAATAGCTTCTCAAACAGCCTTCCAGAAGGAATTAAGTTTGAGAACCAAGGTTCCACTGTGTATCACTGGTTTTGTGGAGGAGGAAAGTGGCTCAGAGGGTTTCTTCAGCACTCATTTGTCCAGCAAGTATCTGTTGGTTCCCGCTGTGGGCCAGATGTGCTCAAGGCTCCACAGCTGGAGGGTTCCCACCCAGGTCTACCTGACTTGAAAACAACTACCCATTGACCTGGCTCTGGTATTGATTTTCCTTTAATTTCCTTTCCTCTTGCTGGCCCAGTATGACCTTTCTTTCCCTGTTGTGCATTGCATGTTGTGGGGTTTGCCTTTGGTAGGTCTGCACTGCGGTGACCACTTTTACCCTTGGCTCCTGACAGCATGACGGTACAGATTTCAAGCATTGTTGGACCAGTGAGATCTCCCTTCACATCTGCACTAGATCAAAAGCCTTGTCCACACACTGAGTGTGAGCCTGGTGGCTCCGCAGTAGGCTTCCTGAGGTGTGTCGAGAGTGTTGTTCTGTTGGAGGGCACAGCTACATCCCTCTGGGCAGAGGTTGCTCAGAGAATGGATGGGTCATCTAGGAAAAGTCAGAAAAACATGCTTCAGAAGGCAAGATTGCTGGAGAGTAGATGGCTGCAAACCAGCTTTGGGACATCACACTAAATTCAGAGGTGGTCTGCCATGTGTAGGGGTCCAGGAACCAGCGGCTGACCTTCCAGGAGGTCAGAGGTTCTCCAACCTGGGGGCTGAAGTACCTTTAGATGAGGTCAAGGACCTCATAATTTCTATTAGCCTACATGTGTCCCACTTTTTGGTAGAAAAAGAACCATGAACTGAAAAATTTGGAGTTTTCCCTCATGTCTCTTGGTGATAGAGTTATGCGTGACTCACATTTGAGTAGCAGTGTATGCATGGCTTAAAGTCTTAATTATTGGAACATAAGAGGCCCACACTACTGTTGTTAGAGTGACGGGGAACTATCCAATATAAGGTTACACAACCCACAAGAAATGAACATTGAAACTAAACACATTTATAAATTAAAAGCAAGATGAGCAGCTATTAAAACATGAAATTCCTGGAAGACAAGCTAAATGATGCTCTAATAAAGTATCCTTCCTGAAAACTAGACATTACAACAATCCAAGTTTTTTATTTTAGGGTATGAACTCTAATACGGACGAACCTCCAGTAATTTATAGTCAGTAGTCCTACACCGTAAGTTGAAAGAGTGGATTTTGGCTTTGCTCTTCTGTGAGAGCTAAAGAAAGGACTGGCATTTGAGTAGTTCTACTGGATGAGCTGTGGATCCATCATCATGGAAATGAAGGAATAAAAAATATGTAAACTGGATTACCTAATTTTATGTTGCTATGTATATTTATTTACTTTTTGTTACTGAGTTGTTTTTTAAATCCTTATCCGAGGACATTTTTCCATTGCTTTTCAGAGACAGTGGAGGGGGAGGGGGAGAGAGAGAGACACCGATGTGGGAGACACATCAATTGGTTGTCTCCTGTACGTGCCCCGACTGGGGCTGGGGATCGAGCCTGCAACCGAGGTATGTGTCCTTGGCTGGAATCGAACCAGGGACCCTTCTGCTGCTCCAACCACAAAGCCAAACCGGCCAGGGTCTGTGTATTAATCAAATGAGAGTTCTGGCCTGGCCTCTGCAGGAGGGGCCTGCCTTCAGCCAGGGGCAGGCAGGGGATTATGGGAAGTATGCACAAGTGCAGGGCTCCCTGAGGCCAGTGTACTGATGGTGCCTTTAATGTTGCATCCTACCTGGCAGGTTGGCAGAAACCATTTGTGCCTTCATGTGAAACTTGTGGAGATGGTTACTTAGGAATATTGAAGTCCATCCATTACATTAATTCCAGAGCTAACTACGTATCAGAGACCCTGCTGGGCACTTATTCTTGTCACAGTTGACCATGGTAACCTTTCAAGAAAGCTTTCTCAATTTCATTTTTTTTTTTTTTTACATGTAGATGTCCAGTTGCTCCAGCACCATTTGTTGAAAAGATTACTGTTTCTCCATTGTATGGCCTTTACTTCCGCTCCAAAAGTCAGTTGACTGTTGGCCTGGCCAGTGTGGCTCAGCTGGTGAGTGTCATCCCGTGCACCAAAAGGTTGCTGGTTGGATTCCTGGTCAGGACACATGCCCAGGTTGCAGGCTTGATCCCTAGTAGGGGGCGTGCAGGAGGCAGCCAATAGATGTTTCTCTCTCTCTCCCCATCCCTTCTCTCTCTCTAAAATCAATAAAAACATTTTTTAGCCCAGCCAGGCGTGGCTCAGCAGTTGAGCCTCGACCTGCGATCCAGGCGATTGGGGTTCGATTCCCGGTCAGTGCACATGCCCGGTTGCGGGCTCAATCAATGACTCATCATTGGTGTTTCTATCTCTCCCTCTCCTGTCCTCTCTCTGATATCAATGAAGATATATTTTTAAAAAACCACAAAAACATTTTTTTAAAAAATCGGTTGACTATTTTTGTGGGTCTATTTCTGGGTTCTCTATTCTCTTCTGATCTGTCAGTTCTTTGACCGATACCACATTGTATTTTTGTTGTTGTTAATCCTCACCAGAGGATATTTTTTCCATTAATTTTTAGAGGGAATGGAAGGGAGGCGGCGGGGGGGTTGGGGAGAGAAACATCCATGTGAGTGAGACACATCAATTGGTTGCCTCCTGCACACACCCCAACTGGGTCCAGGGATCGAACCTGCAACCTAGGTACGTACCCTTGACCAGGAATTGAACCCAAGACCCTTGCACTCTAACCACTGAGTCAAACTGGCCAGGGCACCACACTGTCTTTATTACTGTAGCTTGATAGTAAGTCTTGATGTCAGTCCTCCAACTTTGTTCTTCTGCAGTGTACTGGCTATTGTGGCTCTTTTGCCTCTCCATATAAACTTTAGAATCAATTTGTCAATATCCATAAAATAACGTGCTGGGATTTTTAAAAAATTGAGATAGAGTGAGAGAGATGCAGATGCATCAGTTGGTTGCCTCCTGCATGTGCCCCTACTGGAGATCGAACCCACTGCCTTTTTGGTATATGGGACAATGCTCCAACCACTGGAGCCACACTGGCCAGGGGCAGCCTGCTGGGATTTTGATTGGAGTTGTGTTGAATCTATAGATCAAGTTGGGAAGGACTGACACCTTGACAATATTGACTCTTCCTATCCACTAGCATGGAACGTCTATTTAGTTCTTTAATTTGTTTCATTAGGGTTTTATAGTTTTCCTCATAGAGAGCTTGTAAAAATTTTATTAGATTTGTACCTAAGTATTTCATTTTGGGGAGGATGCTAATGTAAGTGGTATTGTGGGGAGTTTTTTTGTGTGTTTTTTAAAAATTATTTTTATTGATTTCAAAGAGAGGAAGGGAGAGGGAGAGAGAGATAGGAACACCAATGATGAGAGAGTCACTGATCAGCTGCCTTCTGCACGCCCCCCCACTGGGGATCGAGCCCGAAACCAGGGCATGTGCCTTGGCCGGGAATCAAACCGAGATGATCCGGATCCTAGGCCGATGCCCAACCTCTGAGTCGCACTGGCTGGGCATATTGTGTGTTCTTTCAATCCTCACCCAATGATATTTTTTCCATTGCTTTACAGAGAGCATGGAAGGGAGAGGGAGAGAGAGAGATTGATTGCCCCCGTCACGGGCCCCGACTGGGGCTGGGGATCGAGCCTGCAGCTAAAGTATGTGCCCTTGACCGTAATCAAACCCAGGACCCTTCCATCTGCAGGCTGACGCTCTATCCACTGAGCCAAACCTGCCAGGGCAATGGTATTGTGTTTTTAATTTGAACTTCCACTTGTTCATTGCTGGTATATAGAAAAATGATTGACTTGTATATTAACCATGTATCCTGCAACCTTGCTATGATTGTTTGTTGTGAGTTTCATGAGGTTTTTTTTGTTGTTATTAGTTCTTTGGATTTTCTACAGTCATGTCATCTGCCAACAGAGACAGCGTTATTTCCTCCTTCCCAATCTATGCCTTTTACTTCCTTTTGTTTGTTGGTTTGTTTTGTTTTTCTGTTTTACTTCACTAGCTAGGACCTCCAGTATGATGTTGAAAAGAAGTGGGAGAGGGGACATCCTTGCCTTGTTCCTGATCTTGGCAGGAAAGCTTCTAGTTTCTCACTATTGAGTATGTTAGCTATATGTGTGTGTATTTTATAGATGTTCTTTATCAAGTTGAGAAAGTTCCTTTATTCCTAATTTGCTAAGAGTTTTTATAATGAATAGGTGCTAGATTTTGTCAAGTACTTTTTCTGCATCTGTTGATATGAACATGTGGTTTTTCCCTTTTAGCCTATTCATGTGGTGGATCACATTAATTGATTTTCAAATGTTCACCTGGCCTTGCACACCTGCAATTAATCCCACTTGGTTGTGGGGATAGTTCCTT